GTCGTCCCGTCCGCTCCCCGTCGCCCCGTCCGCTCCCCGGCATTTTGACAGATGCCGGCAAAAACATACACAATTACAGCTAGCTCCGCCCAATTGTGTCGTTTACAGACATCTGATAGGCGAGCCCTGATTGGGCAGAGTCATCATGACTTTACCAAATCATGGCTCTAATTCAATATTGAGCTCTGATTGGGCAAAGCCTTGCAAGACTTTAACTAATCAGAGCTTCGGAGTGCATCTTGGATTATGGAATGTCCGCGGTCGAACAAACTGCGAACATCCCTAACCCGACCCCCATAATCCCCCCTCCCCCAAACTTTACACTTGGCCCAATGCAGTCAGGCAAGTACCGTTCTCCTGGCAACCGCCAAACCCAGACACGCCCATATGGTATAATCCCGGTATCAGGTGACCGCGGCGGAATATTTAGTAGCCGGGAAATGTCACGGACGGACTTATTGCTCAGGTGACAACCTATCACGGCACCACGCTTGTAGTCACCGAGCTCCTGAGAGCGACCCGTTCTCTCACCAATGTCTGTAGAAGCGTCTGCATGCCGAGGTGCCTCATCCTATACACCGGGGGCCATGGAGGTGATTGGGGGACCTGAATCACATGATTGGGAGGGGGAGGGGCCCAAAACTTTTGGTAATATAGCGTATATCTGCACTGGGGGAATGAATTATATGAGCACTTCTCCTGGTCTGCAGAAGACCGAATCCTACAACTGACGCAATGCATGCCGCTGTGCAGGTCAAACGTATGATCAGTCCAAACCCAAAGCTCATCCCCAGCCCATTGGTGGTCACAAAGCTCATCCCCAGCCCATTGGTGGTCACAAAGCTCATCCCCAGCCCATTGGTGGTAACAAAGCTCATCCCCAGCCCATTGGTGGTCACAAAGCTCATCCCCAGCCCATTGGTGGTCACAAAGCTCATCCCCAGCCCATTGGTGGTCACAAAGCTCATCCCCAGACCATTGGTGACACCCTTCTTCTTCTGGTGGCCATGCTGTGGAGTCATTGCTCTCTGCACTGGACTTTGCAGCATTTACAACATTCTTGAATGATTCTGCCACCAGGGAGGGAATATATTGTAGGGATCTATAGATCTTTCCTTACCGTATGTCAGTAAATAGATCTCGAGACAGAGAAGAGGAACCATAACTACTACAACATTTCCATAAGTTCTAACCCCCTGGAAACTGTAACCTCCCCTCCCCCTGGGTGGTATCTGGTATCAGTGGCATGTCTTATACATTGATACCCCTTCACCTGCCCCAGGGGTCATCCCTATTTTGGGGTCTTCAAACATACTTGGTGGAATTGTCTCATAGGAAGAGGCTCGCAGTTATTTCTGATGATTAAAAAAATATATATACAGCTTCCTCGCGCCAATATTCAAACCTCTGCGAGCACTATACACGGAGATCCTCAATCACCTTATAAATAAAGTCGTTGAGTCAGATTTCTGATGATTTCTTTGATATTAGACCAAAGTATTCCCAAGACCCCTTCGTAGCGTTCCTATCCACTTCAAACGTAGAGAAGATACTCACCTGCACGCCACGGTCCAATGCATCAATACGTCCTTCTATTGACGTCGGATACGCATGGCATCACACGTGGAAGCAACGGCCCCTTCATCAGGCAAGAAAACACAGTGATGTCACTAGGGGGTCGTTATGTTTTCTTGCCTGATGAAGGGGCCGTTGCTTCTACGTGTGATGCCATGCGTATCCGACGTCAATAGAAGGACGTATTGATGCACTGGACCGTGGCGTGCCGGTGACTGTTTGGATTTGTGCCACGCCAACCGCATGTCATTGCAGCACCCACCTGTATAGTGTTGTGGGATTCCGGCCTGGTGTGCAATGAGAGAACTGTAATTGTGACTCCATTCCTCTTCAGTTCCGGCTGCACCCTTCATAGGCCACAGCAGTGTTTGCATTCTACTCCGGGCCTGCCGATTCAGCGATAACATTGTCACTTAGAAAAGAAAAACAAAGTATTACATATAACCTTTTATTAGGACATAACAAAAACGTTCCTTTGCTGATATGGTTTAGCGTAAATAATGTTGTTTTCTATACTATAGACAAAAAAGGTAACAAAACTAAAATACAGCATTGGATGTAAAACAACTAACCCTAAAACAAGTAACCCTAACTAGTGTAGATGAAGTTCTGTCATTTGTCCCGTTTGTAATGACACTGAAATTAGGATTCTGCTACAAACCATGAAAACGTTATTCACAAATACAATAATGGGGGTTTTGTTACAATGTTGCACATCTTTAAAATGCGACATAAAAAACAAAATGTTGAATATTAACGGTTACGAAATATAACCAGAAAAATAATATCTAAAGGGAAGCAAATTGTTCATTAGGGCTGATTAGGGTCACCTAAGTGTTAATTATTATTATACGGGATTTATATGGCGCCAACAGTTTGCGCAGCGCTGTACAATATAGGGAAGACATTACAATCACAATACAATTCAAGACAAGATGGTGAGGAGGGCCCTGCCCCTGAGGGCTTACACTCTAAAGCCCCGTTCACATTGAGCGATTTATCGCGCGGTAATTCCCGCAATATCGCGGCAAATTACCGCGCGATATCGCGCTCCAATGCATTTCAATGGGGCAAAGGGTCCTGCTGTCGCGGGTCGTGTGTCGCTACAGCAGGACCCTTTTTGGAACGGATTTAGCCGCGATTCAAGCTTGAACGCGATATCGCGCGGCAAATCTCGCGATGTCGCGCAATATGCAAATCACGCGTTTGTGGGAACGGGGCCTAAGAGGTTATTTTATGTCAAATCATTTGCAGATGAAAGTGCTGAGTAAATACAATGTAACAATGATGTTGTTGTGTAATATCTTTTATTGAAGCTTCTGAAGACAGTTAAACACAATGTTGCAGCTTATCTGAGGGCTGGTGCAGACTTTGGCGATCGTGTGCGGGCGCAAACAGCGGTTGCCGCACGACCCCTTTGATTTCAATGGAGTAACATCCGCGCGGCAATCGCTGAAAACAGCTACATGCACCTCTTTTGGCGACGCGCACCACACGTTTCTTTAATCCGCGATTGTGCATGATTGCACGGGTGGTATCGCGGTGGGAAACCGTTCGATCTGCCTAGGGTGACTGGGGTGCCATTAGGAAAAAATGGCACCACCAGCTCGACCGACGGTGGTGTGTGATTCCATGACCAAGCAGCAATCGTGCACGAAACCGCGCGGTCACGGATCGCCTAGGTATGAACCTGGCCTAACATAACGATAGCAATAGAAGCTTGTCGGCCGGCAGGGGTCGGTACATATAAAGTGCTGTAGAATGGATGGATCGCCTCCTGTCACTTGGACACTTTTATCGTTTTTCTTTCCTTCACACAGATCAGAGAAGAGTTCTTAGAAGAGGAAACCATATTATAGAATTCACTGTGCCGGTGACAGTCCACGATATCAGCAGAGGAGATCTCGCCAGGATTCGGCAGTGCTCCGGTGATGGAGGGAGAATGAGGGTGCTGCAGCAATTGGCTGCCAGTGCGGGAAATACCCAAAGCGATTCAGCCGGCAATGTGACAGACGATAAGATTCTTCCAGAACACGGACAGGTGAGGCACTGGATTCATATATTCAGAAGATAAGTCGAGATTTGGTAAAGCACAAAAGGCTCACTACAAATAATGAATTTACAGAACAGGAAATGATGGTTTCTTTCAAAGTAAAGCATCAGATTTCTGTGGCTGAGGAAACAGTTTTACTGTAAAAAAAAGACCTGAAGAGCTGGAGAGATCAGATTGCACACACTGCTCAATGACTCAGAGGAGGGACACACATCACCTTATCATGCCCTTTACATCTGAAGATGTGGCCATCTTGGCCTCTTATTAGATCTGCAGTTGGCATGGAGCTGCACATGTGACCAGCTATGACACCAGCTATTTGAGAGCTTGACAGTTCAGGTTGAGAGCTGACATAAGCACACCGCCAGCTGTGACAGTTCTCATCAGAGACAAGCCTTGAATGTAAATGTTTTGGGAAACAGTCAGATCCGTGAGTTTAGTTCTGCTTTAGAGATTCCATCTCTGGGGGTAAAGGAGGCAAACTACGGCAGGTATGAAGTGTGGGCACCTCGAGGGGACCAACCTACAGCAGTCTCCTCACAGCCAAATACCGGACCCTCCTGACAGGCAAAGCATCCACTTTTCATGATAGTGCCAAAGATTGCCTATCCCTTCCTGCCTCCTGCCCATTCCTTTTCTCACATTGGCCTCTCACAGTCCAGGGGTAACTAACAAGAGCTCCAGACTCACCAGACCTGGTTGGCGTATCAGTGTAGATCCACTTGGGAGACAGCGGGCAGCCACTGATGTAGCAGATAAGCCGGATGGATACAGATCCTCACCACAGGAAAGACACCGACCATACTCCTGAAGTGCTCTTAGTTCCTGGATACTTCAAGAGTCAGCATTGGTCCCGGTTCTATTCCTCTAACAGCAAACAGACCTCTTCCATGTTGGAGGCCTCAGGGAAACCTTTCCCTCACTTCAGCCCATGCCCACCCCCAGGCCTAGCCTGGGGGGCAGGCTGAACAGCAGCAGAGATAAACCAGGACTCCTCCCCTAACAGATAGAGCTGTGCTGTGTAAATCGCAAGACAAATAGCAGTGCCAAAGAGCGGTGGGGGGAGGAGAGCGCTGTGAACCCGGCATGTCACAGGAGGCTGAGCTCTCCTCCCCGCACCGCTCGCTCAGACTCCAGTGACAGCGAGTCAGGATGGACAGCGGTACAAGCAGTCAGGGATCAGTAATCGGTGACTGCTTGTAAATAACTGAATATACTATGAGTTACTCTGTCCCAGTTATGAATGAATGGGAAGTGTAATACATCACTTCCTGTTCATTCATGATTGTCTACTTAGTAACTCATCCATAATGTATGTATGAACAGGAACACTCAGTATGGTATTGAGGCTTCCTGTTCATTCAGTGCTGGGGCTGCAGAAAAAGATAATTGAGGACTCCGTGTCTCTGAGGACTCAAGCTCTTTTTCTATTTTAAAAGGCATGATCTGTTTAGACCCCCAATATTTCCCCGAAGCCCCCGACAGTAAAGTTAAAAGTTACAATATTTAATAAATATAAACAAATAAAATATAAGAAAATTAAAAAGTTTATAAAAAAATATAAATAAAATATTTCTAAAAATTTAAAAAGGTTAGAATTTTTTTTATTTTCAGTTTATTTAAACTTTTCATTTCCATGCACCTGTAATTGTAGAATGTGCTCTGATTTGGGGGTGCCCTTAAATTACTGATGAACAACTGAATCTTAAATAAGTGTCGGGGGGTTTATTTACAAATAGGGATATACATACATTCTAATTACAATTAAGGGAATTTGAAAGGGGAATTGGGGATAGGAATTGAGGGTAAGGATCCTACAGCTAGCTACACCATTCTCTCTCTCTCATTCACACAAGCCATGGGTTTTTCTCTGTTCTTCGGACACGCCTCTCTAGCAGGTCTCAGCGAATCACATTCTTGATTGCAGAGTTCAGAAAGACTTGTCTTGTCCAAAGGTCTTGCTGGTCAGCTAGGTTAGTGTCACACAGGAAGAAGGTTCCATCATATGCCCCTGCCCCCATCCCAGCATATATGCCTTGCTGACACAGGTGAGGGCAGTAAATACCAGCAGGGGGTCAGGCTTGCCCCAGGACATGACAGTCCAGCAGATCTCCTTTGATCAGTGTCCAGCCCCAGGAACCCTTTGATGGTCTTCATTTGCATATCAAACAGCACGGGCAGCTCTGGATATTAAGGAACCTTTCCATCAAAGATGTATCATAGATGTCAATTATTTTAGCTTCCAACAGTAATATATTTACTTCATCTGTGTATTTAGCACTAAAGCAGAATTTAGGGTTAAAACAATTTAAAAATAAACAGCCCAGCAAAAGTAAGAAAAGCAGATTTTGCTGCAATAGTAACCTTCAGTCAGGAGGTGTCTCTGCAGTAGGTCCGCTCAGCTACCAGATCTCACCGGTCTTCCGGCGTGAATGATGGACAACATCACTCAACTCACATCCTGCAAGCCCAGACCACCATGGACACAGAACATCATCACACAGCGCGCACTCATTGGTTGGTGGTGTTCAGTGGAGGAGTAAGTGTATCTTTTTGCAGAGAGACTTCTGTATAAATAATATCGGATTTCTCATCTATGAACGTTACTTTGCTGCACTTCTTTGCTTTAGTAAATCAGAACTTGCACATGAATGACCACAACGACACAATCAGCTGCTTTCCATAGTGCACTGGGAAGCGTTTGACACAAAAGTGCTTCTCTCGTTCTATGGAAAACTTCTGATCTCTCAGTAAATCCTCCAATATCTGGACCTGCTGTGCTCCTGTGAGGGACACCGGGGTGGAGGTGAGTCGGGTCTCTTCTGTGTGTGTGAATGGTTGGTGAGATTACATTTACTTTCTTCTCATTTCTAACTTCTGTATTGTACAGGTGTGCTTTCCATCAGCCTTATATGAATACATTATGGAGATCTACAGAACAGAAGTGGACGTCATAGAGAGAAGACATGGCGTGAAGATTGATCATCGCTCCTCACCAGGAGGAAACACAGTTGTCTCATTCATCCCTCTGGGACCAGACTCCTCACCCGAGAAAGCCAGGGAGATCTATACAGACAAGTTGCAGAAGGTGATGGGTGACTGGAGTCAGGAAAGAGTAGATCCCTCAGGTGTCCCCCTGACATTCTCTGACATCAAACAACGAGTGAAGGACCGCTGGAGGAAGATCCTGGTGTTACAGGAAGGGAACACGGACATCATTCTTCGAGGTCCCAGAGATGAGTTGTCCCAGGCCATACAATTCCTAAAGAAGGATGACTATAAACCTGCTCGCCCTCGCAGGGCTCCCACCATCTCCTCCGGTGATATCAGGACGGAGATCCCGGTAGATGTCAGACACATGGACATCCTGAAGAAACTAAAGAGCAGAGAGATTTCTGACATCGAGCGGAAGTACAATGTGAAGATGGATGAAGTTAAGAAAAATGGCGGCGTACTTGTCACCTTCAGAGCCATAGATGCGACCCCCGACCTTTCACCCCACGCTTCTTACAGCTTCACCACTCTTCTGCAGAAAACTTTCTTTAATATCGAAAAAAAACTGATCAGCGTGAAGCCGGAATTCCAGGAGGAAAGAGTCAGCGTGCTGCAGGAAGAGCTGATGATGCGAGGAGTAGACATTGTGATGGAATATTCCAGCGGCTCTGTGCTCCTCATCGGTCATCCGGTCCATGTCGCTTTTGCTGCGGGGGAACTCAGTGGCAGCCAGAATTCAGGCAGAGAGGGTTACTAATCTAATCATTATTTCTTCACAGAAACTTCAGCTTTCTCCACACTGCACTTGGATCCGGATGGAGATCAGCAGAACATCAATGAACTACCTTTCACCAATCTCTCCTGTAATAAATGAGCCTGGAAATACCTCTGCAGAGGTTCCTGGCTCACAGCAAAGGGCTGAGGGCAAACGAGGGATTAGGTGGGTAATAGACCCCTGATTGTCACATTGTAACATAGATGGCTTGTTGGCTCCTTTGTGATGTTAATAAAATAAGGTACAAATGTATTAAAACAACAAACTAAAATGATAACTATTAACCTGACATGGTCTGATGTGGAACATTTGGAGATTAGATTGGGCTTGTTGTGTATTTTTCTCTTTCAATAGTTTTTATTTGGTTCCAAACAAAGTGCCGGTCAGTAGTTCTACATTACCAAAATAAAATGAAGATAAGGGGGGCTGATTTACTAAACAAATAGAATACTTACAAAGTGGATTTTCACTGAGCTTACTGAAAATTCACTATGCGAAGGGAACCTCCTCCACTCGTTATGCAAATCAATCTCATTGCACACAGTCGCTATAATGACATTGTTACAGGGTTGTGTATGATTTAATATGGAGCTCTCCCACTGGTGGCCCGGAGACCCTATTTTGCAGCCCGCAAGGTGCCTAAGAACACATTAGAGCAGGGCACTCAAAGAACCGGCACGCGGGCCAACTCCGGCCCGCGAGCCGGTACTATGTAGCCCGCAGTCAGCTGACAAGTCGGGCTACACGGTCTGCATCTCTGTCAGTTCTGAGCTACGGCCGAATGATGGGTGATTAGTAAGGTCTGCACTAGACCTTACTAATCACCACTGGATCACCAGGGAACGATGATGTGCCTCCTCCCTGCACAGATGCAAGCAGGTGAGGGGGCTTGGAAGGAAAGGAGGGAGGGGGGAGTTTATTAAGTGTGCTGGGGGCTTGGGA